TAGCATTGTAGAAAAGCCTTAAGAATTTTAAAAATAGTTTACAATTGTTCCAGTCACCCTCTGTTGGAGCACCCCATGACTTCTTCTTTTCACCACTTCCATCCTCCCCATCGCCCTCTAAAAAGTAAGATCGATAATTTGAGTCCTCCTCCTCTAAACGCTCAAATGCTTTTTCAAATTTTTCAGCACTCTCCAACATCAAATAAGTTGAATTCCATCTAGTAGGTACATCAAGAAATAACAAAGACTTGTACTCAATTTGACACATCTCCACACACTTCTTAAAAGATTCATGCCTATTTGGAGACGACCTCACATATCTCACAGCATCACGCACACAACAAATTGAAGTATCCAACTCTTTCAAGCCCTCACCAACAATGAGATTCAAAATATGCGCACAACAATGCATATGTAAGAACTCATGACCCAAAACAATGCCCTTCTAATCTTTTGTTTTTCTTTTCAAGAATTTTGTGGCTGTGTTGTTAGAACTCGCATTATCAATAGTCAAAATAAAAACACTACCAAGGTTCCATTCAAGTAAACACAACTCAATCCTCCTACCAACAGTTTCACCTTTATGATCCTCAACTTGACAGAAATTTAAAATCCTTTTTTGCAATTTCCAATCATCATCAATAAAATGAGCCGTAAGACACATGTAATTAAGATTTTGTATGGATGTCCATGTATCAGTTGTAAGACAAACTCTACGACCCTTCAAAAAATTTCTTAACTTAGTCCTCTCAGTGTTAAAAATTGCAACTACATCTTTAGCAACAGTGGTACGAGATGGAATCATGGTAAACTTTGGTTGTAAAGCATTGCAAAACCTACGAAAACCAACCCCTTCAACAAATCTAAAAGGCAATTCATCAAGAATGATCATTTCAGCTAGAGCTTTCCTAGCACCTTCTACTGTAAAAGAAGTTGCTACTAGACCGACACCATCTCCATCTTTTTTGTTTTGAAAAGACAATGTATGTTGACTCTTTTCTTGTTCTCTATAAGGATACTTTAAACAACTAGCCACATGACTCAATAAATTACTAGTCCCATGAGACTTTGACTCAGCCATGTATTCTTTTTGACAATACTTACATACAGCCCGCGTTTTCCCATCTTCCTCATTTTTAATTTTATCAAAATGATCCCATGCTCTTGATGGTTTCCTACCACTACCTTTTCCCCGTGCCTTACCCTTCTCCTTAGGTGGTAATGGAGGCTTATCAGAAAGAAAAGGTCCAGTGGTATTACCTTCAATAGGTTGGGCACTACCAGTGGCTGTTTCAGTAGGTTGGGCACCAATTATGACTGTTTCATTAGGTTGGGCACCAATAGTGGCTGTTTCAGTAGGAGAATGATCCATTATCTAGACACAAAATACAACAATAAATATATTACATAATATACATAAACAAATCAAACATGCTAATAAATTCCAATTTTGTAAACAGTTAGTTAACAAACTATTTCCTAAAAAATGATCCATACAAAAACAAAGAGCATTATGCATTCTTTTTTTTTTTTTTGAATAGAAGAGCATTATGCATTCTAATATGAAACCATTATTATAGGATCCAAAAATATAAATAAAAGCATGCTTACTTAATGAAAAAAAAAACAAAAATAAAAAGCTTGCAATTTTTAAAATAATAGCAAACAAACAGGTATTAAAAAATAAAAAAACAAAAAAACATACACTTTAACTTTAAGCTTGTAATTTAAAAACAAAAAAATAAAAATAAAAAAAAATAAAAAAAACATACACTTCATTCTTACTATATTTAAGCATTCATTTTTTATTTTTATTTTTCGTTTTTCCATTTTAGCTTCTTTTAAGAAAAATAAGTTACTTAAAAATCTTTTTTACATGTAGGGATTTTGTTAACTTGAAACAAACTAAATAAAATGACAAAACAAATCTAAGGTTTTTGGCGATCAGAAAAATAAAAATAAAAATAAATAAATACTGGAACAAATATATTTGGAGCATTCAAAAACATGAATGATCCATTATCTGGAGCATAATATACATCAACTAATCAAACATGATAATAAATTTCAATTTTCAAAACAGTTAATACAATGATTTATTGAAAAACTAACAAATATTTTAAAGTACTAAAGAATAAAAAAAAACACATGAGAGCATTCAGATTTTTTTTCATTTAGCTTCTTTGAAACAAAAACAATGACTTAAAACAAGGGTTTTTGTTAATAAATAAATAAATAAATAAATAAATAAATAAAATCCATGTATGGATTATGTTAGTTAGTCTACAAAAAATTAAATATATATATATATATATATGTACATTAAATCTAGTGTTTTTGTTAAAACAAAATTTAAAAATACGAAATCCATGTAGGATTTCAGTTATTCAAGAAACAATTGACTATAAACACAATATCGATCAAGGGTTGCAATGAATCAAAAACGGTTTAAACAAATAAACTCATACCTAAGACTTTGGTTAGTAAGAGAGCACCACCACCAGCTCTGATTTGAAGGATAGATAAAACACCTCAAAGAGTATCAAAGAGAGAGAGATTGGAAAGAGATGGAAGTTGAGAATGTGTGATCAAAGCTGTAAAAAGATATGTAATGAGGGAAGAGATTGGTTTACGTTATAGAGAGAGAGAGTGAGAGAGTGAAATATGGGAAAGAGAGAAATATGGGGAAGAGGAGAGGAGAGGAGTTGATATGATATGATAGGTCTGCTGCTGGATAACTCATTTTGCTTTGAAAGTTGAAAATTGAAATACATCATTATCATCATAGAAAGCTTCTACAAGAAGCTTTGCACTTCTCCCAATAATAAAACAATTATACAAATATAAAAAAATGTAACAGCTGCATAAAAATTCGGTCGGGTCGGTTTCGACCGAAATAATTTACACAAATCTGTTGTCGACCGTGAAACTGCAAAATTCAACCAAACGAAACCGCAACCGACCGGTTGAATATTCGAAACCGTCCGTTTTACTTCGGTTCGGTTCGGGCCGGGCGGGCGGGCCGGATTTCGGTTTTTCATGAACACCCCTATTTGAGTGTGTTGTTTGTTTTGAGCTTTCAAATCATAACTTTTGCCGACCAAAAATTCGCTTTTAGCGACCAATTTTTTTGTTGTCAAAAGTGTTAATTCTTGTAGTGAACAAACTAAAGAAGTGATTGTTGATGGTTAGAGATGGTGGCCAAAGGTGATTGTTGGTTACGGGAGGTGGTAGGCAAAGGTGGTTGCCACTGGTAGAAGGTGGTTAGTTGTGGCCAGAGGTATTTTTGGCCATATGAAGTGATGGTCGATGGTTACTGATGGTGGTTGGTCAACTACTTAAGATGATTTTTAACAAGGGATGGTGACCAAAGATAGTCACTACTAGTGGCAGGTAATTGGCAACAGTGATAAGTGGCTGACAATCGAGAGATGTGGTAGTTAGAGATGGTTAGTGAAGAAGATCATCGGCAATGATAGCCGATAGTAATCAATAATAGATGATAGTCCAAAAGGATGGGAAAAAGAGGGAAAAAAACAAAAACAAAATGAAATTGATTTTATTTTTTTTATATAAGTTGTTTACAACTTTTTGAAATGAAAATAGAAATTAAACAAGGCTCCGTTTGGTAAGCCTCTCAAATTACAGTTCCACCCATTGATTTGAGTGTGTTGTTTGTTTTGAACTTTCAAATCATAATTCTACACCTATTTCTCAAAACTCAATTTGAAACATAATCATTATTTTTCAAAACTCATAACCAAACACATAATTCAAAACTCTTTTCAAAACACAATTCAAATCAATATTTTAATTTTTTAAATATTTTAAATATTTAAATATTTTAAAAATATTTTAATTTTGTTAAGATTTTAAATATTTTAATATTTAAATATTGTTTACGATTTTTTTAAATTTTTTTTGAAATTTTTAAATATTTTAATTTCAAAATATTACGATTTTAATTTTTTAAATTTTAAAATATTTTTATAAAAATAAACTCAAACTCTTATTTTATAAAAATATTGTTAAATATTTTAATTTTTTTGTTATGTATTTGGTTATGATTTGAGTGTAGAGTTGTGAAAGTAATATGTAGTTTCGAGTTATGTGTTTGGTTATGAGTTTTAAAATAATTTCTTAATTAAGTTTTGTTTTCTGTATTTGGTTACGATTTGAGTATAGAGTTATTTTTAAATTTAAAATATTAACATTTTAAATTATATTATTATTTTTTGAATATAATTATTTAAATTTTTACGATTTAAAATTTTTGAATATTTATTTTAATTTTTTACTTATTAAATTTTTTAGATTATTTAAATTATTTAAATATTTATGATTTAAATTTTTTGAATTATTTATTTTGAAAAAAAATTATTTCCTTTGTAGTATTTTCAATTAAAAAATTGATTAATGTTATTTTCTGTTAATAATAAATTTTTTAAATTAAATTTTAAAAAGAGTTTGCTTATGAGTATTGATCAGAATTTTCAATAGTGTGAAAGTAGTGGGTTTTGTTATGAGTTATAACAATTTGAATTAAGTTTTGAAAACTCTTTCTAAAACTCATAACCAAACAAATTTTCTTCCTTCACATGTCAAATCAAACTTTTAAAACTCAATTCCACATTGAATTCAAAACTCAATTCAACACTCTATTTAAAAACTATAACCAAACAAATTTTCTACACTCAAATAATAATTTCACAACTCATAAACTCAAAATATAACTCATACTTTCAAATAATATTTACAAAACTCTAGTAAACGCAATCTAAATTTTTATTTATAATTTTCAAAATTTTATAAATATAATCATTACTAAATAAATGATTTTTTTTGCAAAATAAAAAAAAATAATATTTATCAAACCGGATAAAGGAATTTGGTGAAATAATATTAAAATTATTTGACTGTGAAAAATCTTTTTCACATGAAAAAAATTTGATAAAAATCTCCATGATTGGTATATCAGGACACACAATAATGATTCAAGTCAAGAACCAAGTCATCTCTGTGATGATGCCTCATCTAGTACGACCATGAAAAGGAAACAATCTTCTCTTCATTAAATTCTCTTCTCTCTCTTCAAATTGTACACATATCCAAATCCACAAGCTGGATCGGTAGGCGTAAAGCTATTTTCTTCCTACTCTCTCTACAAAAGACAAAACGTTACGATATTCTCTCAACCCAGGTCCCAAACTCTATAACCCACAAAGCCGAAGATCTCTCCCGTCCCAACCCATCTTCAGTCTTCACGTACTCTGCTCGAATTCTTGTGAATCTTGGCTTTATAGTCCCTATCTTGGGTGTTTGTTATTTTGATACACAGAAGCTTTGAAATCATCTGGGTCTGTACCAATCGGAATTATGAGGAAGAGAGAGAGGGAAAACCCTTGTGGAGTTTGTGGGCACTATCACAAGTACGAAGAGGGCGAGGTTTGTGGGATTTGCGGCCACCGCATGCCGGCGGTGTCAGAGAAAACTTCACTGCAAGTCAGTGCTTTTCCGTCGGAGATCTTGCCGGAGTTTCTTTATCTGGGAAGCTATGACAATGCGTCGAGGTCGGAACTTCTCAAGACCCAGGGGATTTCTCGTGTTCTTAATGTGGGTTTCTTGTTTCACTAATTTGTTTTTTTCAATGCAATCGATTTTGTGTTGTTTAATGTTTTTAGGTATATGATCGTGAGAGTGATTGCCATGAAATCTTGAATATAGTCTTGGTTTATATGGTTTTCTTATGAATTGAATTGGATTAGGATATTGATAAATATTCGGTCACGTAATCGGACAGAGTATTTTGGAAGTGAATCCCACTAACAAATCTTTGAAAATCTTGTCCATTTATCTGTATTTTGTGCTGAGTCTGGGATTCGGATTTGGATTTTTGTGGATAATAGTTCATGAAATCTAATTTCATGTGAGTCTTGTACAATCTTGTTATAGGTTAAGGTTAGTTGATTGAATTTGAGGTTTGGGCTAAAATTAGTGCTCATCTATTTTTGCCTAGACATATATCAGTGAATCTGGAATGTGTTAATGATGTTTAATAGTTGTAGGCACAACAGATAGTGAGGTTAATTTGGATAATGTTGGCTTATGTCAATATGATGAATTTGGTGGCATTTGGTTTATTGAATTTGATCTAGGTCCCAATGGGTCAAGCAAACGACTCAATGATGAACATCTGCTGTGCAATGAGATGTTTATCCAAGGAGGCATTTTTCATTTTTATTTTTATAAATCTTTCTAAATTTTTTTATTGAATTTTTGTAAGAGGTAATTATTTGAGAATTGTATTACTCCATTCTTCTTAGTTTCTGCGTATATCACATTCTTTCTATCCAAGTGTCTAATGCGAATGAATCTTTGGATGGGGAAGGTAGGAACTGCTAGATTTGAATTAGTGGATCACTGTGTGGTTTTTTTTCAGATAGTGTTGTTGGTGGTGAAAGGAAAAAGTTCACTAATTTTTGTGGGGCGAGGACTTGGGTTCTTCGAAGTTGGGAATGTTTGTTCCTAATGTACGTTCATGCAAAGACTCACTTGAATACTGTTTGTGCATATATAGATCTGTTGTGAAGTTATTCGTAAATATTTTGTATGGTTGTACTTGTGTGATTTCATAGGTGGGATAATTGTTTCTAATGCAAGCTGTGATTTTATTACTTGACCTTTATGGAAGAAACGAGGTAGGATAAACACTTAGTTGTGGTTTCGGATTATTTCAAAGGTAGGTAAGGTGGAAAAGAGTAATATTCAAATGCAAGGGGTGAGATTTTTCTTAAGGGTGGTGATGGAAAAATGGAAATTTTATAGAAAAATATAAAGGATATGGTGTTAAGATGTTACGTTTTAGCAGTTTGCACAAATAATCAAACATGTTGCCGTTGTTTCTTTTTATTGGTTTCTTTTTTTGCAAGCCTTTTTTTATTAAATTATTAGGGGTTGTTATTTTAGTGTTTTCTATTAAATTCTTTTTTTTATTTGGAGATCACTAAATTCCTGTTTGGTTGCACAAATTGAATTGACTGATTTTAAATATGTAGATTTTTAAAAAGTGTTAATTCAAAATTTGTGAAGGCATTGAATAAAATTAATTTTGAATCTACTAAAGTTGGATTAGGTAATTTTGTGGTAACAAAATAAACTTTTTTAAAATTTTAACAATCATAATTACACTCATTAAGTAATTCTATGCGAGAGGCTAAAAGTGGAGTGTGAATATTGTTGCTCTTTTTAATTAGTTAAGTAAATTTACATAAATTTCAGGTGTTGCTCTTTATACCCAAACAAATTATTCACGGATGAGCCAATTCTAAACTGGTTCAATTCACATTATAGGCACAAGCAAATGTGCCCTAAATTTATTTATTTTTGTCACCCTTGTCAGCAGTTTTGTTTAGGTAGGATGTGCTTTCAGCTCTTTCTTCAAACAGATATGCTGAAAGTAATTTTTCCATTTTCACATATGAAACATGAGTTGCATGTAATTGGTGTACTGCAATCTTTATCTTACTTTACCCCATTAAATTGAAATAGTAACTTGACCCAGATTAATGATAATCTGACATACTCTTCTGCAGACGGTGCCTTCTTGTCAAAATCTTTATAAGAACTCTTTTACTTATCATTGTCTCCAAGATGACAAAAGCTTACAATTTGATGATGCCATCCAATTTCTAGGTGTGTATCTCTACGTCTGATGCTGTGAACTAATGCTTGTTATTACAGCTTTCTGCTTTGGTTTACTCAGTTTTTCATATCTTCTATGCCATTAATGTTATTAATTATTGCACAATTGTATCTGGCTTATGTGATTTATATTGCGGAAAAAACATTGTATAATCACCATACGAGAATGATATCTTCAATAATATTTTAATGGAACTCCTCACAATGAATATCTGGATTCTTGAAAACATCCTTCTGTTGCTAATTTATTCTGGGATATTACTGATTAGTGATACAATCATTTTGAGGCTTTAGCATATCAATATTGAATCTAGTTTTATTATTGGTCAAAATTGACAAGAAGCCTTAGAATGTCGCTTTTTGCTTTTTGTTTTTGGTTTTTCAGTGGGGTAGTGTTGCTTGTTATGCATAATCTTCAACGAAAAACTCATTAAAGCAAGAAAAAGATGTTGGCTTCATCAGGCTGATTTACTACAAATAGTTATTGGGCTTCCCCCAGACCCAATTATCCAACCATATAAGTTAAAAGTGTTTGAGAGTAATCATGTTGTGAAAGTAGGCTTATACAATGCATCTTGTTTTCAAGAAGATTGCCCGAAATTGAAGATCGCCATTCTTCTTTTATATATATATATATATATTTATCGTTTCGCCCTGCTTTCATTATAAAAAGTTTGTTGTTCGTTATTGAACAATTGGAATCCTGAAAGCCTTTCCTATTCAATCACAATTTGCAACAATTTACAAAAACTTCAGCTCTGAGTAGTTTTACTTAAAATTTTAATACACATTTTTAAGCTGTTGGTGAAGCATTGGTGGAACTAATTCTGTGATGTGGTAAGTTGGTTAGTCATTTTCTAACGTAGGAGGGTGGAGTGAGCTGCGTGTATATATGCAAATATATGCTGCAAGAAGGTTTTTAAACACACAATAGCCAGCCACTGCTCCATTATGTATTTATTCATTTGTTATATGAGTTTGGTAGTCTATGCCGTTGGACACATTAATGAATGATGGGAGAGGTTAGGGTGAGCTGTTATCAACATTTATATTCACATTTGCCATCATTCCATTTTTAGCAGCCTGATATAACGGGGGGACTCATCCACGACGTTATTAAAACAAGTCACAGAAGGACCAACTTTTGTTACAATGTTAGCCACTCTGAATCAGGTGGTTCTTCACAGCCTCGAGAAAAACTGTGCTGTTTACTTTATTTTTCATCCTCAATATCTCAAGCTCTCTGTTTCATCGATTTGTGATGTCTCTAAAAAGAAAATTAACTACTGAGAAGTGGCTAGATCTTGCAGCAACATATAGAGGTGTCTCTTAATCCAAGTTTGGCTGTTTGAGAAGGGATTGATGCTGATAATAAATCTGAGCAACAATGTTTTTGTGTCCTAACAACGCAGCAATGCGGACTAGTATGTTTTTATGGGGTGTGAATTTTATAACTATATAAATTTATATTGAGAAGTTATTTGAGTAAAAAATGTTCCCTGATTTTGTGGAGTTCTATAGTTTCGGATCCATGCTGGTTTCAAGTCACCAACATTTGGATTCATTTGGGGTGGCTTTAAGTTAAATATATTTTAGTAGTTTATGGAAGTCATAAAAATATGGACCCATTGAGAGTCTCATGAGTGATGATGCTAGATGCTGTTATTTAGGTGCAGTTGACTTAGACCAAAATAGCCAAATATGTCTTGTTACCTATACATTCAACATTGATATGGTAAGTCAGTCATTTTTCTTACATAAGAGGATGTGGGGAACAACATGTAAGAAATGTAATCTTCCGCAAGAAGGATTGTAGACACAAAATAGCCATCGTTACTTCATGTATTCATTCATTTGTTACATGATTTTGGTAGTCAATTCTGTTGGACACATTTATCAAAAGATGAGAGAGAATGGATAGAAGAAATAAGAGTCCAAGAAATAAGCTGTTGGACTTGAACTAGAAGATTTAAATAGTGCTAAATATTTGTATTGGATTTTAAAGCTAAAGAAAACTGAATGTTGGGTGGAATGAGCGGACTAATTGGTTAAAACAAAAAAGATTATTGGAGAACTACAAATGAAATGGGTAATGATTTGAAGGATTTCCGAGTCAATGTATATGAAATGCTAGGTTTTTGCCTTTTGCTTTACTTTCTGTTCCTTTGATCTAAGAGCTCTGCTTAATCTTTTCCTTTTACTTAGAAAATGCTAATGTATATGTATATATTTATATTTGAATGCATTCGTGCGTCGTAATAAAGGAGAAGGGTTGTGTTAGGTGGTACAGCTAGCTTGTCAAAATCCAGGTTAGATCTCTCACGAACATGAATCTTAATATCAATATGCAAGTAAGGACTAGAGCATTCCTCGTAGACAACTCGTTCCTTTGGTGTTTCAAAAATGAATAAGTGGAATCGCATCGGTGCCTAGGTGCGGTGAAAAATAAGTAAAAGGGTCATGGGATTTAGTAGTAAAAAAACATTTGAATTTATTTAATTTAACTGAGCTTATAGTCCTTGATAGATCATAATGGTGAGAAAAGATATGTAGCCAACTCTACTTGATTGGGACACATGGTTTGGTTATAAATGTACATTATACACAAATATGTTCGCATATCACATATGTTTATATATGCATCTGAATTGGGGTTGTCCTAGCATAGCCAAACTCAAATTTCCATGCATGTTGCCAAGTTGACCCTCCCACAATGGCCTGATGCATTCTTATGGTATACATATACATATCCAAAAAACATCTTTAAGAGAGAAATTATCTAGCTTAAATGGAACAAAATTCAACAAGTAAACGGGTTGGTCATGTTATTGGGTTTGACCTGTGCCCATTATAATTGACCCAGATTAACCCTTGCCACCAATGCCTGTATTGCGAGTTACATCTTTAGGATGGGATGACTGGGTTGTAAACGGGACGGGGGAGTATTGGAAGTTGTGCAAAATAGGCAACAATAAAACTTCAGGTCTAAATGGCTGGTTACCATAAGGGTTGGGAGGTGAAAGAGAACTAGATAAAAGTGATGGGAGAAGGGTATGAATTGCAGGGTAACTATAAAAAGAGTTTAAATCCTACCTTCATGTTGGTTCCAAAAAATGATACTCTATTCAACATCTTGCTTAAAAAGTGTTGGCATCTGTATTGTAGGAGGTAGATGCTAATCATCTACCTTATTTTATTTTGAGGTGTTTTAATAATTTAATCCATGCTTTGAGCTGATCCATGTTTAAGTTGATCTTCATAAGTCGTGGCTCATTCATAATGAAAAATCTATAGAATGTTGTGTTGTGGGTTAGAATTATAGGTTGCTTAGCAGTTTCTTCTCATTGCATGTTTTAGTTTTCTTAGGATCAAGATTTCAAATCTGTGGCAACCATATTAGGCTGCTCAGTGGATTTTGGCAACTAACGGAAATTCATGTCTAAACCAAGAGTTCAAAAATGGCATTAATGAAATGCTATTACTAACTATTCATACTTTGACTGGGTCCAAGCCTTTGTCAATTTTTTAGTTTTTAATCTTCTGAGTATTGACAACGATCCACTCTCTGCTGACTGCACCAAGGTGGCTAGCTGTAGTTGAAAAATAAAAGCTAGGTGATGGCAGTGGGTATCCCATGGAGGGGATTTTTGATTCTATGCAGATTGACAGGACGGTTTCATTTGTGGGGAGAGTTTGGAGAAAGGGGTAGATTCCACTCTTTCTCCAAAGTGCAATTTGGTGGGAAGCTCTAGTGGCAGTGGATTAGGGGTGATTCTTTGTTTGAACTGGGCATCAATGATGGCTCTAAGCCTAAGGGTATTTCTACAGGTATGTCTGGGCCTTCAGTTTCTCATCTTTGTGGGAAACAAGAGTGGTGTTTTGTAACGGAGAATCTATGAAACATGGATATGGATATGGATATGGATATGGATATGGCACGATACGGATATAGAGATTCGAAAAAATCTAAAAAAATTATTATACAGCGGCCATGATGTGTCAAAGTTTGTTTAGTATTATATTATATATCTACTCAAAGAATAGTGAGAAACCATTATTTAAGAATTATATATTAGATTAAGAGTCAATAATCTTTTTTTCCCCCTCTAGTGGATACATTAATTCAATAAAATGTGAAAAAAAATTGAAGTACTACTTTAATCTCATCATTTGCCTCTTCCATAAGGAATTACAAAATATTTAAAAACTATTCTTGTATTTATTATAACAATTATACTCTAATTCTATACAAGGATTCTTTCAATTTCAATTACATAATAGTTTGGATATGTGTGACCTAGAGTGTTCTAAAAGTGTCCGATACTTTTCAAAATTAACATCAAGTATTGGATACATTTGAGGAATTTTCAGATATGTATCCACTACTATCCGAGGGGTATCGGTATCCGATATGGGTACGATACGGATACGATTCCTTTTTAGAAGTATATCCATGCTTCATAGGGGAGAATCAATACAGGATTGGTGGCAGCTATATAGATGATGGAGCAACAAGCTTTAGATTGCATAGATGGAATGACAATTTTGTAGGAAAATGGAGGAGGAAGTCGGAAGTTTTCTGAGGAAGGGTTGCTTGGTGATGGGGACTCAACATGTTGGGGAGGTAGGGTTTGATCTAGTGGAGGGCAATTTTAATGTACAATGTCAGTCATGAGGAGGAAGCAGACGTCAAGAAGGATGGATTGATGGAAATTAGCGAAGGAGTAGGAATAGTGAGAAGCTATGTTACATGGACTCGTCACTTTGGGGCGAAGTACCCGTGTCGACACGACACGACACGGGTGCGGGTGTGAGATCTGTGTCGGATTCACCTCATCTCTCTCGGACACGGCATTTTACAGACAGCAAAGAAATGGAAGAGGAGAAAGGAAGAAAACCTGGTCACTGGTCACTGTTGGCTTCGATCATCGATCACGATTAGGGCTCTCACTATTGATCACGATCGTCTTCGTCTAGGGCTTCGATCGGGAAACTGGAGCCTTATGAGGAGCATAGATGGGACAACTTCAAGCGATGTGGGACACATTCCAACACACCCTCTTGGATCACAACATACAGTAGCTGGACAAATTGCACACCAATCATAGACCTAATCAAGCTCTGATATCAAATTGAAACGCCCAGCCCACACTTCTTGAAACCTAGGTATTAAGGAGAGGGAAACTGGAGCCTTATGAGGAGCATAGATGGGACAACTTCAAGCGATGTGGGACACATTCCAACACACCCTCTTGGATCACAACATACAGTAGCTGGACAAATTGCACACCAATCATAGACCTAATCAAGCTCTGATATCAAATTGAAACGCCCAGCCCACACTTCTTGAAACCTAGGTATTAAGGAGAGGGAAACTGGAGCCTTATGAGGAGCATAGATGGGACAACTTCAAGCGATGTGGGACACATTCCAACACACCCTCTTGGATCACAACATACAGTAGCTGGACAAATTGCACACCAATCATAGACCTAATCAAGCTCTGATATCAAATTGAAACGCCCAGCCCACACTTCTTGAAACCTAGGTATTAAGGAGAGGGAAACTGGAGCCTTATGAGGAGCATAGATGGGACAACTTCAAGCGATGTGGGACACATTCCAACACACCCTCTTGGATCACAACATACAGTAGCTGGACAAATTGCACACCAATCATAGACCTAATCAAGCTCTGATATCAAATTGAAACGCCCAGCCCACACTTCTTGAAATTTAGGTATTAAGGAGAGGGAAACTGGAGCCTTATGAGGAGCATAGATGGGACAACTTCAAGCGATGTGGGACACATTCCAACACACCCTCTTGGATCACAACATACAGTAGCTGGACAAATTGCACACCAATCATAGACCTAATCAAGCTCTGATATCAAATTGAAACGCCCAGCCCACACTTCTTGAAACCTAGGTATTAAGGAGAGGGAAACTGGAGCCTTATAAGGAGCACAAATGGGCTAACTTCAGGCGATGTGGGACACATTTTAACAAACTTTTGGTTAAGGGGTTCTCATGTTGAAGGATGGATTGATTTTGATGTGAATGGTTCCTTGTTACTAAAGAAAGTTAATAAGTTTATGGGTAATTGTGAGAAGTTTTCATAACCCTACGGGGTTGGCCTAGTGGCAAGGCCTTTGGTCTTGGGGGTGTGCTCCCTCTAAGGTTCAGGGATCGAAATCTCTTAGGCGCTAACAATTCCTTGGGGCCACTGGATTGGGGAAAAACTCTTGAATGAACTGTGGTGTGCTTGCGAGAAACTCCTTGCCAAGGGCCTGTACGCCCTTGATTAGTCAGGCTTTGATCCGGACAACCCGATGCCAGTAAAAAAATAAAATAAAAAAATTGTGAGATGTTTTTATTACTACTAATAAGGGTTATAGTTTGAGCCAAGCTCAAATCAAAGAAGTGGCTTGAAAGGGGTGGTTGAGTTGAAAAGAGATGGCAATAAGATGGTAGATAGATTTTTTAATTTTTTTGATCAATAGTAATTCCTATTAAAAGTAAGGTTAGCCAAACGGCACTTACTAGGAAATCAATAAGAAGCTTACACAAAACTAAGGAAAAAAACCTTGTTCAAAACAAAGGAAAAATCCCCAAATGAAGCACCAAGGAGAAACTATGTATATATCAAGGCACAACATTCGTACTACGAAGTAGAAGTCTATCATAAAAGTTCGACAATAGAATAAGTCTGAGATAAATATATAGGCTACATCCATTTGTGTGGGAAAGCTACAAACGCACCAAAAAAAAAAAAACAAACAAACAAACAAACAAAAAACAAAACACAAACCCTCAAACCCATAACGCCTAGGTAGTGGTGGCGGCATATTCGGTGGTGGAAGGCAGCAAATTTAGGTGAAGGGAGGGGGCAGATCCTGTGGAGAAGAGGTGGAAGACAGCCGATTAGGTTGATGGTGGCCGAACAGGAGGCGATGATGTGGTGGCGACACTGGAGTGGGGTGGAGGAGGAGAGAAACGGCGAATCTGGTGAATGCCACGACCAGAGTTAAGGCGAAGGGGAGAGAAACACCTTACAAAGGGAGGGAGAAGGGTGGAAAGCCAAAAGCTTCCAAGTTATTACCAGAAAAGCAAGGAAAAGGAAGAGAAAGAGGGGTAGGAGGAGGTGGGCCGCGGGAACCCCCCTCCCTCCCCTACCTTGGCTACCGCTCATAATTGAAACCCTAGGGAGAGAAAGCATAGAGAGAGAAGCTCTCAAAGTTGCCAATTCCAATAAGACATAATACTAGATGGAAGATAGATTGATGGTTGTAATGAGTCTTGAAGTTTGTTGATCGAATTCATACAAAGGATGAGGAAGACAAGGGAAGGGGGAAAAAGTTCTCTATGAAGGGGATGAAACTTATACATCTTCAATCGTTGATTAATTATGTTGGACAAAAGGGGTACGAGCATGGTTATCAAAATCGCGATCCGGATTGTAGGATTGTACGATCCTAAATTGTCAAAACGATCCAAATCGTTGTGGGATCGGTGTTATAGTAGGATCGCAAGTAGAATTGTATGGGATTGCATTAGGATCGTAGGTAGGATTGATGGATTTATGATTTTTCGACTTATTTTTAATATGTATTATTCTAATTTGTAATTTTACCTTATTTTTAATAGAAAGTAGAATCTTATGATTCTTGATCCGATCCTATGATCCGATCCACGAGAGTAGGATCCCGATTTTAACAACTTTGGGTACGAGGCTGTAAAGGGATAGTATATGGAAGGAAGAAAGATGTTAATCCCTTTTTTTTTCTTCATGAATAATTTCAGGAGGGAGTTTAGGAGAAGCATCTTGAATCTGTTGTAGTTATTTGGGAAATGTTGGAAGTATTCAAAAGGGTGCCATATCTTTAGTGGCTGCTACTGTTAGTGGAAAGGAATGCAAAATTACTTTAAGAAGTCAAATGTACTTTAAAACTGTTTAGAATTGTAATTTTATGTATTTTATTTCTAATGTTCAGGTTAATGGAGGTGGACGATATAAAAACTAGAGTTGTTGAAGGTGTTTCAAAAAGTGATTTCAATTGTATTGAACTTGCGTTGCCTAATTTATTTTCTCAATTGAGGTTAAGATACAAACAAAAAAGTATTAAGGTTGATAAAATATTGATAAAATATTTCCCCCTTTGCGCATCCAATGCTAATGGGTTGGTCAGAGTAAATATTTATAATCGGAGGTTAGACGGTAGTGACAGTTTGCAGGCGTGGTTTATTTTCCAGTGGATTGTCAATGCGAGCTAGTCTATTATGGGAATGGTTATTGTTCAATTAACGATAAACAGGTGCCATGGATGGTGAAGTATCGACTTGAAAATTCGAATATTAAAAGCGGGGTTACGTATTGTAAAATGAAGGGGTATCTGAAGTATTCTACGAAGGCTGGAGGAGAAAAACAGAAGACAAAAACACTCCTTTTGTGAATTGGCTCAAGTTTTGTTCTTTATTTGAGGATAGCAAATGTAATTTGGGAATGTATTCGGGGTTTTGGTTTGTAGATGGATCTATAGACCAACAGTTCCTCTAGGAAAGAGGCAAACTTAAAAGACTACAAATCTTTGGTTAATTATAATGGAGAAAAGGGGTTTGATGCTATTAAGGGGTTGTTGGGCCCTATGGAAGGAGGCATGTTAGTGGATT